GGGAGGGAGACAAAACCCTCTTGGTTCCCTGCTGCCGTAACCAAGGTCTTTCCCCTGCCAAGCTGCTCTGTACAATCAGAACTCTGAGTCATAGGGCCGGTTGGTTCAAAGGAGCTTGCCAAATCAGTACCCAAAATACATATTTGATATTTAGTCCAAACTGTTCTATACTCATCTAATAGATTAAATGGTACTGAAAGTCATTGTGCTGTAGACCACTGATTTCCTGCAGAAGTAGATGGCTTAATCAAAATTTCTCTCTGGGTTTTTGTGATTCTACCACCTTTGACTTACTGGATCTTCCAGTTTCTTGAGCTCCTCCCAAAATTGAGTTCAGTCACCCTCTACTTTGAAGGAAAAGACTGGGCACATATTCCCCCACCTAGGAGAAATTTGCAAGAAAGTGCCAGTAGCTCAGAGTACATCATGCAATTAATCTTGCAGAATTCATCATGAATTTTCCCTCAAAGGGGAAAGGAGCAAAGGGGCTGCTGGTTTGGTTTTGTGGTTTGTTTTTTTTTTTGACTTAAGAGGGAAAATTATTTCAAGATCCAAAGAGAAAGCAGTATAATAAGGAACTGTTTACAGGCATGCATCTGTGTTTCTTTGTGGTACCCTCTCCTCCTTTGTGGCTTCCATTGGCCAGATCTCTGTGCTCACTCAGAAGCAGCCCCTGGGATTCCTGGGGCTCTGCTGGGAATGGTGACCAGCCCCCTGTGCTCCACCTCTCCCATCTCCAGGCTCTTCTGAGGAGCCGGCAGCACAGAGGCCTGGCACGCAGAGGAGGCTGCAGCGCTGAAAGATGACTTGACCTCAGCTACAGATATGCTTTTGTTTTATAAACAAACTATATCAATACTATCTTTTTCTTTTTTTTTTTTATCGTTTATTTCAAGTAAATTTGGTTACCTGAAGTGCCTAGGTCCTGTGACAGTGCATTTACAATCTGACAGCTATTTAAGATAATATGTAAGAAATAAGCCAGTGAAAGGGATGTTTTCAGTAATCTGTTTTTACTAATTTTGCACCTGAAGGTAGACAACACAGATGCAGAAGGAAGACTGCTGTTAGCGGATGCTCTCTGTTATGCCCACAATTTTAATGCAAGGGCTATTGTGAATGCTGCAACATTAACAGGTAAGCAATCTCCCTTCCCTGCTCATTTTGCAAGTCAATTGTTACTCTCATTAATTGGGCTGTGGATTAGTTGCACTATGTACATAAAGCCAACCTGAATTTGAAGGCAACTGAGATGATTTCACATGTTGTAGGAGAACAGCCAGCACAGTTTACGCTCTAAGAACTCGTACAGCTGCCCCGCGTGTCTGGGACTGAGGAGGGTATTGGCATGCAGGGTACGCGCTCAGCAATGTAGATGAAGTTGGGCCAGCCCGACTGAGCTGGAACAAAGAAGAACGGGAAAACCTATGCAGACTTCGATGTTTCTGCGTAGTGTTTCCCAGTGCTTCCATTTCTGAGCTAAGCCTTCCCAGCTCCCAGAGCTGGGTGATGCAGAGATACTGGCGTGGCTATGGAAGAATCCTGCCAGGTCCATACGGCACTAGCCATGCTGGAGCCAAAACAGCTTCTTTGTGAACGGCTTCCTGAGCTCTGACCTACCCAGCACCAGTTCTTCCATGGTGGGAGATAGCTCAGGTCTTTGTGATTCTAATTAATAGCGTAGGAGAATCATCATCTTCCCAGGAATTCGTTTGACTGAAGTATCTCTTACTTTATGTGCACTTTGCACGCTTTCAGGCATAATAAAATGTGCTTTAATTGTTTCATCTCTGCAGTTGTATCTGAATGAGGTTACAATTTTAAATTTAAAACCAGCACTGTGTTTGCATTTCATGAACTGCAGTAACAAGCTGTTGTGGATGAAGTGACTGTAGCTGAAATGAGAGCAAACATGGAAGAGTAATTCAGACAGGAGTCCACTGTGTTGCTTAATGCATATGCTAAGCAAAATAATTCTCTTTCTATATATTCTCTACTAGTGCTTTAAACTATGTTCCATCAGTTTTACCAGTTCCAATGCTGTGGAAAATGTCAATAAAAAGAAGAGAAGCTGATTTTAACATCATTGGCTTGTATAAAATGATTCCCATATAAAGGGCATGATAGAAGTTTACTCCTACTATAGATTACTCCATGTTTGGGATCTTTGGGCACCAAGCAGGAAGGAGGAGAGCTCCTGTAGAAATTTCTTTGACATACCATTTTATTTAACTACTTTTTTTTTTTTTTTTTTTAATCTCACTGAGGATTGAGTGTTGGCATTAGAGAAGCAGTAATGTGGCATCAACTAAATATGTATGTAATCCCTCTGGTTTAGGCATGGTTTAGTATTTGATAAGGATTATTTTAAATGAAAGTGAATTCACATATGCTGTGTAAAAATCTATACAAGTGAAATTCACAAAAAGGAAAGTATCAGCTCAAAATTGTAGAGGTCTATAAATTGGAAGAAGTCTACTCACTTTTATTGTTTCCATAAAGAAAATATAATTCAGATTTTTTAATTATTATATTTATTTTATTTTATTATTAGATTTTTTTATAAGACACTGTTATTGTTATTCTGTGATGGTGTGACAACAACAGTGGACAAAGGAAAAACAATGGATGTGATCTATCTGGACTTCTGCAAAGCCTTTGACACGGTCCCCCACAACATCCTTCTGTCTAAATTGGAGAGCTATGGATTTGATGGGTGGACTGTTC